GGCCAATCGGACATCCCTTCCTCTGTCTGCAGCCTTCCATGTCAACCTGGGGAGCGAAAGAAAATGGTAAAGGGGGTATCGTGTTGTTGGCACTGTGAGCTGTGTGACGGGTACCAGTACCAGTTTGATGATTTCACCTGCCAGGCGTGCCCTTTCGATATGAGGCCTAATGTTAACCGTACGGCCTGCCGCCCCACCCCCATTGTCAAGCTGGAGTGGCATTCACCCTGGGCCATTCTGCCGCTCTTTCTCAGCATTTTGGGGATTCTGAGCACTCTATTTGTGGTGGGAACGCTTGTGCGTTTTAATGATACCCCCATTGTGCGAGCGTCTGGACGAGAATTGAGCTATGTTCTGCTCACTGGCATTTTCCTGATGTATGCAATCACATTTCTGATGATGGCTGAGCCTGGTGTGGCCGTTTGTGCCCTACGTCGACTTTTCTTGGGCCTTGGGATGTGCATCTCCTATGCTGCTCTCTTGACTAAAACCAACAGGATCTACCGTATCTTTGAGCAAGGGAAAAGGTCAGTGACTCCACCGCGTTTCATCAGCCCTGCCTCTCAGCTGGCAATCACATTCAGCCTCATCTGTGTTCAGCTGGTTGGCACAGCCGTCTGGCTGGCAGTTCTGCCCCCACACAGTGTTATTGACTATGAGGAGCAGCGTACGCCTAACCCGGAGTTAGCCAGTGGCGTCCTAAAATGTGACATGTCTGACCTGTCGCTGGTTAGCTGCCTGATGTACTCTATCTTGCTTATGGTAACCTGTACAGTGTATGCAGTGAAGGCCCGGGGAGTGCCTGAGAACTTCAATGAGGCCAAACCCATTGGCTTCACCATGTACACCACTTGCATTGTGTGGTTGGCATTTGTTCCCATCTTCTTCGGCACTGCGCAGTCTGCAGAGAAGGTGATGCAGCTATCATCACTATTTCAGATCATTACTCTCCATTTCGCAATAAGTGTGCTCATCCAGATTAGCCATACTGTGGATATCCAATGTTTCTTCCTGTATCACATTGTTTGTGACAGCTCCATCATTAGGTGTTTAATGTCTGTGGGTTTGATAGACTATTAATCTGAGACCATCTTTCCATGACCACTCACTGGACCTGGTCCAAGGTTGTTGTTGTTTTCCTGCCACCACTGCCATTTGTGAGTCTTTCACTTCATGACTGGTTATAGCTCAAGCTTTGTGGGTCTCACAGTGCTTCCTTTACTCAGATCTACATCCAGACCACCACGCTGACAGTGTCCATGAGCCTGAGTGCGTCTGTCTCTCTGGGAATGCTCTATGTGCCCAAGGTTTACATCATCCTGTTCCACCCAGAGCAGAATGTGCAGAAACGGAAGAGAAGCTTTAAAGCAGTGGCAACGGCAGCCACCATGTCCACCAGACTGTCACAGAAAAACAGCGAGCGGCAGAACGGGGAAAGCAAGCCCACCGAAAAAAGCCTGCCTGAAAGCAAGTGATTCACATGGAGGTAACGTATTGGCATAAAAATATCTCTGATCCACAACAACTCTATTGTATAACTCTCTCAGGGTTATTTACTAATGTGAGAATTCAAAGTGAGTTTATAATTTAAAGTCAAAATAGTCTAATTGAAGAAATACAGCTATGCGTTTGGCTACTCTGGCCTTGAGGGAAGGATGATAGAGCACCCCGTGTGGGGATAGAGGGAAGGATGACAGAGAGCCCTGCGTGGGGATAGAGGGAAGGATGATAGAGAGCCCCTGGTGGGGATAGAGGGAAGGATGATGGAGAGCCCCTGGTGGGGATAGAGAGAAGAATGATAGAGAGCCCTGCGTGTGGGTAGAGGGAAGGATGATAGAGAGCACCGCGTGGGGATAGAGGGAAGGAGGATAGAGAGCCCCGCGTGGGGATAGAGGGAAGGAGGATAGAGAGCCCCTGGTGGGGATAAAGGAAAGGATGATAGAGAGCCCCTGGTGGGGATAGAGAGAAGAATGGTAGAGAGCCCCTGGTGGGGATAAAGGGAAGAATAATAGAGAGCCCCTGTTGGGAATAAAGGGAAGGATGATAGTGAGCCTCGCGTGGGGATAGAGGGAAGGATGATAGAGAGCCCCGCCACGTGTGGATAGAGGGAAGGATGATAGAGAGCCCCGCGTGGGGATAGAGGGAAGCATGATGGAGAGCCTCACGTGGGGATAGAGGAAAGGATGATGGAGAGCCCCGCGTGGGGATAGAGGGAAGGATGATAGAGAGCCCCTGGTGGGGATAGAGGGAAGGATGATAGAGAGCCCCTGGTGGCGATAGAGGGAAGGATGATAGAGAGCCCCTGGTGGGGATAGAGGAAAGGATGATAGAGAGCCTCGAGTGGGGATAGAGGGAAGGATGATGGAGAGCCCCGCGTGGGGATAGAGGGAAGGATAATGGAGAGCCCCACGTGGGGATAGAGGGAAGGATAATGGAGAGTCCCGCGTGGGGATAGAGGGAAGGATGATGGAGAGTCCCGCGTGGGGATAGAGGGAAGGATGATGGAGAGTCCCGTGTGGGGACAGAAGGAAGGATGATGGAGAGTCCCGTGTGGGGACAGAAGGAAGGATGATAGAGAGCCCCGCGTGGGGATAGAGGGAAGGATGATAGAGAGCCCCGCGTGGGGATAGAGGGAAGGATGCTAGAGAGCCCCGCATGGGGAGAGAGGGAAGGATGATAGAGAGCCCCTGGTGGGGATAGAGGGAAGCATGATAGAGAGCCTCACGTGGGGATACAGGGAAGGATGATAGAGAGCCCCTGGTGGGTATAGAGGGATTGATGATAGAGAGCCCGTGGTGGGGATAGAGGGAAGGGATGAGAGTCCCTGGAGGGGATAGAGGGAAGGATGATAGAGAGCCCCTGGTGGGGATAAAGGGAAGGATGATAGAGAGCCTTGCATGGGGATAGAGGGAAGGATGATAGCCTTGTGTGGGGATAGAGGGAAGGATGATAGAGAGTCTTGTGTGGGGTTAGAGGGAAGGATGATAGAGAGCCCCGCGTGGGGATAGAGGGAAGCATGATAGAGAGCCCCACGTGGGGATAGAGGGAAGGATGATAGAGAGCCTCGCGTGGGGATAGAGGGAAGGGGGATAGAAGGAAGAATGATAGAGAGCCCCGCGTGGGGATAGAGGGAAGGATGCTAGAGAGCCCCGCGTGGGGAGAGAGGGAAGGAGGATAGAGAGCCCCTGGTGGGGATAAAGGAAAGGATGATAGAGAGCCCCTGGTGGGGATAGAGAGAAGAATGGTAGAGAGCCGCTGATGGGGATAGAGCGAAGAATGGTAGAGAGCCCCTGGTGGGGATAAAGGGAAGAATAATAGAGAGCCACTGTTGGGAATAAAGGGAAGGATGATAGTGAGCCTCGCATGGGGATAGAGGGAAGGATGATAGAGAGCCCCGCCGCGTGTGGATAGAGGGAAGGATGATAGAGAGCCCCGCGTGGGGATAGAGGGAAGCATGATGGAGAGCCTCACGTGGGGATAGAGGAAAGGATGATGGAGAGCCCCGCGTGGGGATAGAGGGAAGGATGATAGAGAGCACCGCGTGGGGATAGAGGGAAGGATGCTAGAGAGCCCCGCGTGGGGAGAGAGGGAAGCATGATAGAGAGCCCCGCGTGGGGATAGAGGGAAGGATGATGGAGAGCCCCGCGTGGGGATAGAGGGAAGCATGATAGAGAGCCCCGCGTGGGGATAGAGGGAAGGATGATAGAGAGCCCCGCGTGGGGATAGAGGGAAGGATGATAGAGAGCCCCGCGTGGGGATAGAGGAAAGGATGATAGAGAGCCCCGCGTGGGGATAGAAGGAAGCATGATAGAGAGCCCCGCGTGGGGATAGAGGGAAGCATGATATAGAGCCCCGCGTGGGGATAGAGGGAAGCATGATAGAGAGCCCCGCGTGGGGATAGAGGGAAGCAGGATAGAGAGCCCCGCGTGGGGATAGAGGGAAGGATGATAGAGAGCCCCGCGTGGGGATAGAGGGAAGCATGATAGAGAGCCCCGCGTGGGGATAGAGGGAAGCAGGATAGAGAGCCCCGCGTGGGGATAGAGGGAAGCAGGATAGAAAGCCACGCGTGGGGATAGAAGGAAGAATGATAGAGAGCCCAGCATGGGGATAAAGGAAAGCATGATAGAGAGCCCCGCGTGGGGATAGAGGGAAGGATGATAGAGAGCCTCGCGTGGGGATAGAGGGAAGCATGATAGAGAGCCCCGCGTGGGGATAGAGGGAAGCAGCATAGAGAGCCCAGCGTGGGGATAGAGGGAAGCATGATAGAGAGTCACGCGTGGGGACAGAGGGAAGCATGATAGAGAGCCCTGCGTGGGGATAGAGCGAACGGTGATAGAAGGAAGAATGATAGTGAGCCCCGCGTGGGCATAGACGGAAGGATGATAGAGAGCCACGCGTGGGGATAGAGGGAAGCATGATAGAGAGCCCCGGTTGGGGATAGAGGGAAGTATGATGGAGAGCCCCTGGTGGGGATAGAAGGAAGGATGATAGAGAGCCCCTGGTGGGATAGAGGGAAGGATAAAAAAAAAACCCGGTTGGGGATAGAGGGAAGCATGATAGAGAGCCCCTGGTGGGGATAGAGGGAAGCATAATAGAGAGCCCCTGGTGGGGATAGAGGGAAGGATGATAGAGAGCCCCTGGTGGGGATAGAGGGAAGCATGATGGAGAGCCCCTGGTGGGGATAGAGGGAAGGATGATAGAGGGAAGGATGATAGAGGGAAGGATGATAGAGAGCCCCTGGTGGGGATAGAGGGAAGGATGATAGAGAGCCCTGGTGGGGATAGAGGGAATGATGATAGAGAGCCCCTGGTGGGGATAGAGGGAAGCATGATAGAGAGCCCCTGGTGGGGATAGAGGGAAGCATGATAGAGAGCCCCTGGTGGGGATAGAGGGAAGCATG